CTCCTCGACATACTTTCAATCAAATTTTTTAAATTTCCGGTCCGATTTCATTCCATTCCTCCATCAATTCTCCAGATTTTTGGGATGTGTTGGTCGTGCACGAATTCGTCTTTCCAAAACATCCTATGAATGCTCAATTGGATTTAGATCAAGACTCTGGGCAGGTCATGGAAGTGAAGCTACTGTATTAGATTTCTCTCCCTCCATTCATCAACATGATAATTTCTGTGAACCGGCGCATTATCATCTTGAAAAAGATGAACAGAACTGCTGGTAGTTCATCTAAAAATGGTTGGAGATGCTGTTCAAGCAATTCTACATATTTTTGGCCAGTTATTGTACCGTCAACTTCGATTAATGGTCCGAATGCATTTCGGGTAAAACATCCCATATCATTACTCCTCGATCACCCGATTTCATACTAGGAAGAACGTCATATTTTTCATGGGGTCGACGCCAAACCCATTGCTGTGAATCATTTCTGAATATTAAATACCTTGATTCATCACTCCAAATTACTAATTCCATTCAAGAACCCAATCTTTTCGTTCTAGACACTATTTTAATCGTTTACGACGATTTTCCTCAGATATGAAAGGTTTTCTTAGACCAGCCCGACCAAAAAACCCACTTTCGTGAAGATTACGACGTGGTTTTAGAATTTCATCAACTGATTGTTGCCGGTTATCTTTTACAATGTTAATTATTCTTCGGGTATCTCTATCATTTAATATTGGTGGTCTACCGCTTCGGGCAGCAACTGTGGTTTGGCCAAACTCTTTATATTTTTGTATGACGTATGAACTGTAGATTTGGGTCCTATTTTTTGTTCGGAAAAACCATACTTCCAAGCACCGACTATCTCGCCGCGCTCAAAATCCGTAAGTTGGCAATTTCTGCGAGTATTGGTTGAGTTTGACATATTTTTTTATATCGTTTTAAAGCTAGCTTTCTAAAGAGCTAGGCTTGGATTTCTGCTTTTAAATCTGCGATTTCTTTATTTTTAAGAGTTAATTCTTTATTTCAGAATGCTTTATTTTTAACTTCTTCATCTTCTAATTCTTTCTTTGCTTTGACTAAATCTTTTCTTTCTTGGGCTAATCTTTTAATATCTTCTTTTAAATGAGTTTGATAATCAGCATTGCCTATATTTTGCTGTTGAGCTTGTTGTAATTGAACGGACGTCTTTGTGTTGCACAAATAACGATGCAACTCACCCCTTTATTTATGTCGATCACCCCCGATTCCAAATTTTTGCCCAGCGAGTGTACATGTACATAACATTTGTCTTATAATCTGTGTTGACATAAGAAATTTGCAAAAGTATCCAACCCTCTCAGTAAATCATGTGCAATGTACCCGAGAACTGTGCAATCCTTTGCCCTCCAGTAAAAATGTCATACATGTGTACAAAGCAAATGTTAATTAATATCTCACGTATTATAATCCAAAAAGTAATATCTCCCATAATATCCCTCAATTACGTGTTGAATGTAAAATATCCTGGGTTCTTTAAACGGCGTTTACGGTACTTTTTCTATAGGTTGGTAAACTTTTATATCAGGAGTCGGGATGCAAAGAATATACCCCCTGTTGTAAATATTATGTACCCGGGGTATTTTACGGTCGCTTTAGGATGCAATATCTGATGCTCATTGACCCGATTCGAGCGAAAATACTGCCGTTTGATTTGCATCCCAAAGTGACGAAATCGTTCATCAAAAAAGAATCAGTCATTTAGTAATATCTCGATACGCAGTGATCCGATTCAAATGAAAATCTATCATTCGATTCACCCTTGACTATGTGAATTTAATAATAATATTCTCGCTAATATCGGATCATTAGATGTCGAGATATTGCATCATAAAGCTGCCGATTTATTTTTTTTGATATAAAAAAGAATTAATCGCTCATTTTAGAATGCAATATCTCGATGTCCAGTCGATTAAATATTATGATTCGATTCGTCTCGACTAGGCTAACTGAGCACAAGCATTTTACTCAAATCGTACCACCGGATGTCAAGGGATTGGACCACTGAACAGGTGATGACTTTTGCCTACACTACACGAGACCACATTTAATTGTCTAAAAAAAAGTAGCGTGTTTTTGCAAATAAGAGCATAAAAAATTACGTTATGTATTTTATCCTAATATAAATGTGATATATATGGACGTAGTAACGTTAAACCAATATAGTGTTACACTTAACTCAGAAGTTAAGTTGACGAAAGAAAGAATTGAAGATGTAGCGGCAATTATTTACGCGAAGTGGGGTAGCACTAAGGCCTTAAAAGGTCTCCTATGCCAATCTTTAACGGAGATTGTGCAATCAAGTGTAAAAGTAAAGTTCAAATAAAAATTTAAATTCAAAGAAACAAAATTTAATAATACATTAAAAGAATATTGACATAAATAGATTTATTCCAAAACAATGATGCAAAGCTCAATAAATGGTTAAAATCAGAACAAAAGTATCAACTTCGTTTTTGCACAAAAGAAATAAAATCCGAAGCACTGTTAGGTAAGCGTTAAAAATAATTTATTATTCTATTTTTCTTCAAACCAAACATTGCCCGCCTCTCAGACCTTTGAAAAGCTATCCTAATATATACAGTTTGGTTATTACATAACAAATTATAATTTCGTTCAGATTTCGCGGATCTACAGCACAAAGTGTGAAGTTTAGTAAGAATTTTAAAAAAGAATATCTATAATTTGAAACAAAATAAATGACTGTAATGAAATTTAATGTAGTAATAAAATAAATAAAATTATTATAAGATGTGCAATTTTAATAAGAAAAATTATGGATCACGAAGTAAGAGGATCCGATATATGAAATTTGTTATGAAATTTCTAAATCGGGGGATCGCAAAGTAAGAATTTCAGTAAAGAAATTCTTGCTATCGGGTCATTACGAAGTGAAGCGACGTTGATATACAAGATAAGAATTTTTGTATGAATTTTATGGGGATTCTGTTTAAGTGTTACGGGACAATACTAATAATTATTTTTTAATTTTTCGTTACACATTACTATTACTAATAGGAGTACAGAAGTAGGAACTTCGCTTTACTATGTATTCCCTAATCACGAGATTTTCGTTGCGACGGAACAATAGCAGAATAATCTCACAGCAAAAGTTATTATTGATCATATGTTTGTGCATTTTATTATTTTATTATTCAAAATCACAATGGCAATTTGATTCGAATCAAAGTTTATGCATCAATATGATTTTTTTAAATGCAATAAAAATAGATATAATATAATAGTGACAATTTACTTGCAGACGTTAATCGAAATTTCCCTCTTTTCCCCTAATAATAACAACGATAATGTCAAATAAACAGCAGTCAAATAATGAAAATTCACATAGCGATAGCGATAAAACAATCATTACCGTTACGACTCGACTAAACCCTTTTACAACTGCCAACTCATCTACCGCTACAACAGTCGAACAAATTCACGCACAACCAAATATTCCGCAATCGTCCACAACAGCCAAAAAATATTCAACTTTGCCATCGTTACACCGAAGACTTGAAGAAGTCACACCGACAATTTTCTATAATAAACAATCCTACGCTACTGACAGCACTCGCAACAACATCAACACTTCTATTAAAAAAGAATATGCTCGACGAAGATCTGCGCAGTCTATTTTTAATGAAAATATTCATCATCCGCTTTTTGAAAGAGGTGAACTGGTAACATCTATGAATTTGAAATTGAGGAATAAAGAGGAAAAATACAATGAAATGGAAAACAAGGGAAAAGAGATTGAAAACATGGATGAGAAATCATCAAAGATCGAAACAGGATCGGAAGAAAGACAGGAAGACGATGTTGCTGCTATGGTCAAAATAACTAGAGATGATGTTTCTGATGATAAATGGCAATAAAATTCTGAAGTCTTTAAATAGCAGGCTTATATATTATGTTATTTTATAAAAAATAGCCTTAAGTTATATTTTCATATTAAAAAAAACCTTATATCCAAAACCTCCTTTGAGATTTTTTCTTTGTGATTTGTTCAAGTCTGTCATAAAGCAAATACTTTTTGTGTTTATAACCTGTATTTGTGATACGTCTTCCAAAGTTTTTATGAGTGATTTTAATAAGGAAAGATTATTGAATTGAAAATTGATAATGATTATTTTAAAAATAAACTAATAAGACATTGACCAATTTGATGAAACTATTCAATAAATTTCTTTGGGATATTGATGAAATAGAATGGAACAAACATCAAAAAATCTTATTAAAGCAT